CTAAGTCTGAAGGAACGGAAACTCGCTAAATTTAAACACACCAGTGTCACTATGTGTAACAGTGTGCGCGGTGTCTCAGCTCACGGAAAGGGACCAACGATTTGTTAGGGTGCGTAGGACCACGCTGAGTCGTGGCGGTTACAACACCTCCTACACTATTTCAAGGCCTCCGTAACGTTTTCTTTCCACAACATGACGTCATCACTGTGAGGTCGGCCCCTGAACCCGAGAACAACGGGCTTGGCTTGGAACGACTTACGGCTTTTGTAAAATCTGTTGCCTGGCGCAAATAGTTAGAAAACGTTTCAAAAAGCTATTCTTTTAAAACGTGAATAGTTGAGCTAGTGACAACAACAAAAAAAATATTTCGGCGCTTTTAGGTACGGAATATTTTACAAGCCTACATTTTTGCCACGCAAGAAACTTAAATGCCTTGATGTGTGGAGCGCAGTATCGCGGAAGAAACAAATTTTGGTGGCTCGTACTACCACATCTGGCTACCATAAACAGCGTTAACGGCGCGATTGATTCTGGCTGCTCGCGTTCATGTGCTGCTTTATGCTTTGTTCTTCTTTGTTCTCGAGTCACGCGACATGCCTGGCTGCTGTTGTGCGCCGAATTGTAACTCAAACTATTTGAGTGGGCCGAAAGTGCGGGTTTACCGCTTTGCTTCTGATCTGATGCGGAACGAAGAGCGGCTCGGACAAAAGCAATACCTCGCGAATACTTTGCGCCAACGAAGTACAGCGTGATAAGTAATTCCTCTTACGCTGTTTAATTTTCGCGGTTGTTGCATGTTCCCTTGCTGTTCGGGGTATCCCAATGATTCTTCTTACCAGCTGGGATGACTTTGTTTTCTTTCTTGAGACGGAAAATAGTTTTCAAGCTATCGCGTATAGTTCCGAACGGGCAACGAGGATGACTCAAAATACTTACAGAAAGTAGTTTTGTGTCAATACGAGTGCGCATTAGAATTATTGCGACGTGTAACTTACCGCTTCCCATTTTATTGTCGTGGTACCGTGCGCGAATCGCTTGTCCTATATTCAGATTTTTGCACTTCCTACAGGTCTGTGAAAAGCACTTTTCTCCGGGTGACTTCGCCACTACTGCGAAGTACACGGACGAAAAAACTGGACGAGTGCTTAAAGTTCCTCTTCAGTTAAGGCGGCTGAAGCCTTGCGCTACTCCTAGCATCTTCCTCAACCGCCCCGCATACCTGTCCCACAACACACCTGCTGCCCGCGAAGGTCCTGAAGAAAAGCGCACTCGCTTTAAAGCGTTTTGAAGCGGAGGCCCTGCAGGAAGCAATGACGCTCTCCACCGAAGCCAATGAAGACGAACAGAGAAAGAATTCCGTTAGCAACTTTGACGAACTCGTGGCTGCTCTCAAGGAATTCCAGGTGGCCGATTTCTGGACAAAGCTGGCCACTGAAAAGCTTTTTTAAACTTTGCTCCTCGAGATGCAACAGTCGTGCGTTATTCAGTGACTGACGGTCTCTGCAGGTCTTTCATTGAAAGCGTTTTGTGGGGACCCGCAGCTTGACAAGGTTGGTCTTCACTTTTTTCAATGAGTGTGTCTGACATTAGGGAGCTAGAGAGAGCTTTAGAGGCTGTGCATGGTTCTGCCAAGAACTCCTCTAACGATCAGCAGCGACTAGAAATTGTCCTAAAGAAGACAGTGGCAATTCTAGAGGAGCTGTCATCAGAAACTTTCCCACATGAGGGGCAAATGGAAATTATGAACTTCTTAATGCAGCAGGTACACATGCTTCTAAACAAATCTCCAAATCACCCTGCAGACCTGCTAGTGTTTTCAAGCCTCGTCTTTACAATATCCCCACACGCTCATAGGTTCATCCGGAGCACGTCAAAGCTCAAACTGCCTTATCCTTACACTATTAAGCGCGTTTGTACGCCACACAGTGTCAACCTTTGTACAGAGCAGCAGAGTACCCTATGTCTGTGCTATGCAAAAAGACTTGCAGCGGCGATCAACGATCATGAGGAGTCTGTAACGCTAGTCATGGACGAAATCCACCTACAGCCATATTTCGACTATAAGTGTGGGACCGTAGTGGGAATAGCCACAAACAGTACAGTTGCTGCAAAGACAGCATATGTGTTCATGTACAGGCAATGGGGCCCGCCCTCCCCCCCCCCCCCCCCCTCTGAAATCTTTCATTTGGCTGCGGCCTCCTCTCCCTCCTCCCCCTCATACAGCATATTGTCATGGGCAGCCCCCCTTCCCCCGAAACAAAATCCTGGCTACGTGCCTGGTTCATGTTCCAGAGCCTTTTGTCACCGAGCAAAGTTGTTGTGCATATTCTGCCAGTTGCACAAATAAATGCAAAACCGTCGCATAATTTTTTTCGTCAGCTGATAAATGAGCTTGAAAAGACTGGATTTCGAATTATCGCAGTAGTTTCAGACAATAACTCCATCAATGGCAAGGCTATGTAGTTTTTTCCCAACCTCCAAAGGTTAACACTGTGTACCAGCATCCTTCGGACCAATCAAGGTCGCCGTTTTTTTTTTTTGTTTTTTTTTTATACTGTTCACGTGTTTAAGTGTGTACGGAATAACTGGCTCAACCAGCGAAACAGCAGCAAGTGCATGTTTTTTTTTTCGATATTAATGCTGCTGGTGATCAACCACCTGTGCTGACAGCTTCGTTTAATGCCTTGGTAGAGCTTCATGAGCGAGTGAGAAATGAGCTGGCGCGACTTGCTCCACCTTTATGCTTGAAAGCACTCAAACCTTCGAGTTTGGAACGACAGAATGTCAAGCTTGTCCTGAAGGTCTTTAACATTCTTACTGTGGCAGCACTTAGGAGCACCAAGGCTGTAACACTGCAGCATGCCAAAGGCACAGCTGAATGTATTAACACTATCGTGATGGTGGTGGTGCATAGCAAATGTGAAAACGCCAAACAAGGGCTGGCGTCTTTGGGACATGCTTCAGGAGCTCATAACGGTAGTGGCTTGCCCCCAAATTGATTTCCTGAACAAAGTAGTCAAGTGGCTAGACTACTGGAGAAGCCTGGAGTATGATGCAGGCCACCTCACAAATGAGACACACAATGCACTTCGTCACACATCGCTTGCTTTAGTTCAGGTGTCGCGTTACTGCATTGAAGAACTCGGCTTCAAGTATGTCCTTGGTAAATTTCAGTCTGACTGCCTTGAGGATAGGTTTGGACGGTACCGACAATTGTGCGGCGCACAGTACCACATCTCGATCCGCCAAATGTACGAGTCAGGACACAAACTAAGATTGCAGAAGGTTCTTGAGCTTCCCGAGTTAGACGGCATCTCGCTGTGTGCCCGCACTGATGTGGTGAATGCTGCCGTGAAGCAGTTTGATGTTGAAGTGACAGCAGCTGACGTTGAAAAACAAAAGAACACATGCTCCCAGCTAGTACATACGTGGCTGGGTATACTGTGCGCATGCTGCACTAAAAAAGCTCATGTGCCCATTCTGAAAAGAGAACCTTGTGGTTGACAACCGCTCTCTTGAAATTGAGGCAGAAGAGTTCATTGCGGTTGTAACAAGATGTGAACTAAAGTTCCTGCAAACCTTGGTTGTAAATTCCGCGCTGACAATGAATATTGTGCTAGAAAAACTGAGCTGTGAAAGGAACGTGTTACAATTCTATTCGTGTGAAAAGCAAAAAGATTTGCTCATGTCCCTGACAACATCCCTTGTTGAGTATAACGAAGATTTGGACGTCTGTGAAAAATGCCATTTACCTCACGTGGTGATGGGTTATGTACCAAGTGCGGCTGCCAACACTTTGTTGAATAACTTGTGCAAACGAGAGAACAACACGCATGCTGAAGCCAAAGCAGCAAAGCGGAAACTGGAGACTCTTCAGATATAAACCTATAACATCTGCTATCATTTCGACTGCTGCCTGGAAGTTATTGTCACAAACACTAATAATAGCAAGCGTGTTTTGTTTTTTTTGTGCGTGTGTTTTGATTTGTTTCCGTTTATTGTTCTCTTCAACTTGTGCAACCAATGTATTTGGAGACATTGCTGCATGTTGTTTAGAACTTTGTGTATATTCGAGGATTTTTTTTTTTTATCTTGTTTTGTTGGAAATGTTGATGTATTGATATTTTTGTTTAAAAATTTGTTTATGAATGTGCTATCAGTTCATTTGTAGAAGCTATTCCTGATAAATTGTATTTTCTTCCACAAACCCAAGTTTTTATGCGTGTTCCAAGCCTATTTCATAAACTTGTCAAGCTTATTCAATCAAAATAAAGAGCGAAAATCTGTACCCCCGAAAACCAGTTGTGATGTTTTAATAATGGATGTGAAAATCGGGGCGCCCGGACTCTTGCTTTTAATTTTGTTATTTAATATGTTCGCAAATCATGCGCGAGTCCTGGACTCATTAAATGTTTGCTGACATAGGCGACGTGGAAGTGAGAATTCGAAGAATAAATACTAAACACTACTATAAACGTGTCCTACGAGTGACAGTCTGTTTTCTGTGGGCGTCTTCTTCGTCCCTGTCTTGTTTGGCGCTTTTAACCTTTTAAATAATCATGAACTAACTAGCTCCCACCAAAGTCTTCACTCCTACGCGCTATTCTGAATTAAAACGTACTGTCACCGCCGAATTCAGAAACCTCACTCAAACTGCACTCAAACTGAAGGGCCCCTCCACTTCCTCGAGGAAGGCGCGAGGGCCGGCGCTGGCCAATCGCGAGGACGGATCTGCCGTCGCGATTGGCCAGCGCCGGCCCTTGAGCCTTTCTCGAGGAAGTCGAGGGGCCCTTCAGTTTGAGTGCAGTTTGAGTGAGGTTTCTGAATTCGGCGGTCAGTGTTCCATTGTCGAAAATTAAGCGCCGAGGACGAAGATGTTAAGAAACGCATTAAAAACCTGAACAAGTGGGTGAAGCCAACTTCCAGGCCGATCTCACTTCGATGACGTCACGGGGGCCTGCGGAGGCCTTGAAATTGTCTAGGTGGTGCTGGGTGGTTACCCTGTCTTGAAGAAGTTTGATGTTCTCCACGTCGGCGTACAGAATCAGCTTCAGGGGAGCTCTCGAGAATGCGGCGGCGGACTTGAGACTCGTCATGGTCAGTTCCAAGCCGTCCGCACAAGTCACCGCCACCATCGTCACAGGTCCCCTGCGTCGATATCAATTCAATTCAATCCAAAGAATTCATTTTCAAAGTGCGTGTCTATTCATTATAGAATAGCTCCAAAAACCCATCGCGATATTATCGCTTTCCGTATGTGGAGCCTTATATTTTTAAAATCTGCACCTTCCCATTTCCATCTAGATCAGCATCGTACTGGAGCGCAATCGTGTAATCACTTCTGCGTGATGCACTTTAAAACCTCAGTCTAGCCAATTGCCCTGGTAACGGAAACAGTGTAGACACAATTTCAAGGTAGACTGAGTTGCAGCTCTCTAAACATCGATACCCCAAATTCGGTTTATTAAAACAAAATTCTGACCATTCCTCTCGTTACATTAACTATAATATTCCCCAAATTAATTAATAGTAGTTAAATGAATACATTTGTTTCGATTTGAAAGCGTCTCGTGGTATCTCTTTGAAAAAATACCAACAACTAAACTCTAGACTTCTCTCAGCACAGTATTTGTTATATACGTGTACACCCAACCGTTCGCTCTGCTAAAGTGGAGAGAGTGGAGATCTCTGTGGGAGAAGGTTCTTCTGTTTTTTCTAACGTGCAACAAATTATAGTTCATCCTTTTCTGGAGGTGTTTCGAACGAATAGACCATATGCGAAATTCTTTGTAGCTATCATCATCATCATACCCGGGAAAGACGCGCCGCCATGTTGGGGGGTTCTTGTCACCTTGTAACATTGTGTCCTGCACTTTGCTGCGTGGTCTCGCCCTCTTCTAGTAAACTCTTCGTAGTTATTAGTCCTTGCTATGGCATCAAACTGAACTCGAGACGTTTCCGAGGTGCTAGATCTCCCGGGATGGGTTTGTGGACTCGTACTACGAGTTGAAGACAACCTCTAGCAAGCACACGCATCGGAGTGGTAGCGGTGGCTCTCTAATCTTTCAATTCTCGATACCCTTCCGGGCACGTGCTGAAAGCCTATCAAAGAGCTAGCGCGAAGCACCAGCCCCTAACGTTGCAGTTGCCAAAACGAGATTTTATGCATGCGCTTCCAATAATAATTGGGTTGTGTGTGTGTTTATACAGCCTAGAACTTGGTCTGCCTCACAGGGGCGACGAGTCTCCCAGCTGTAGATGAGAAATTTAGCCAGTGCGGTACAGCCGCTAGCCTGGGGTCTTTAACGTGCATCACGCAGTAGTGATACACGACCGCAAGCCGGTACGATGCTCATCCAGATAGAAACGGGCAGGGGTGGGGCTCGAACCCAGGATCCTTGGGTTCTGCAGCGCGAGCTTTCGCTCCACGCGCGTCGAGCTGGGTCTGCGCTTCAGCCCACTCGGCCGCCGATCCCCCCTGCATGCGCTTCCGCCTTCGATATTCTTGCTTTCAGCGCGAGCGTACTGACGTTCTTGGTGCAGTGGCTGCGTGCGCACGAGAAACGTACATGTACGAGTGCAGTCATTCTGCTGTGAGAAGCAACTCGCCCGAGAGGCGTTCAACAAACCGCGGAACATCACTAAACGGTTTTAACAAATCGCGATAGCCGGATGGCCGTTCACTATAACAAAATTATGCTCGTATGAAGCTCTCCATGTTTCCGAAGGGATCTTCGTAGCCACTCCGCGTGCATCGCGGAACACAGCAGTACCGGGGCATACTTTTGGAGCCTGTACCTTCCGCGTCAGCAACGTATACGCAGCCAACGTGGCTACCACGCTAGAACGCAAGCTCGGACGCTCGGGCAAGTACGGAGAGTACGGCGGAGCATTCCCCAACATGGTGTACGTACATATGAAGTTCGCGCACGGTAAACCAGATGGCGCTATTCATTTTCGCATATGGCTTATACTGAAGTAAATTAGTGATCTCGAAATTCCGGCGGCGTACCGCTTTAAAAGCCCATATTTTGTCGGCACTTACCTGTACTTTGTCGGTCCATCGGCCCGTGGTGGTATGGTCGTGGATATTCCGTCAGAAACCTGATATCCGGCACTAGGCGTCCGGATGTACCAGAGACTTCCGAGTAGAGCTAGGCATCCAATGACGAGGAGCGCCGATAGTAACCATCGTTGCCAGATTTTTACGGCGTGCATCTCTCTTTCGGTTGCACGGCGGCACTCAAAAACATACCTCGTTGTTTGTCCTTAGCATGATTTCTTTTTCGGTACTTAATCTAATTATCATATTGCGGGAATACGGCATCGCGTTGCATCTTGCCGCATCCATCCCTTTTCTTTCGTCAAAACTGAAATACAAAGAAGGAAAAAAATATGTCCAACGATGTCGGTACAAGGTTTTTGGTAGAGCCACTGACGAATCTACGCTTAGAGTATTGTCACTCCGATCCCATAGTTTCTTGCCGGCGCTGCCATTTTGGCTTTTGTTGTAAAGCGGACGCCATTAGCGATGGCTACAATATAAAAACAACGCGAGTTCCTGAGCTCTCGATAGTGTCTCTTGAAGCTCGTGCGATTTACTTTTGGTCTGTCGCGGTCTTCTTTCGCATTTCATGAGGGCGGATAACAGTTCTCTGCGATTTCAGATAGAGCTTAGGGAGCTGGCAACAGTAGTTTTAATCACCGAAAGGGCAGGAGCGTCATTACTTTGGGCCAGTCTTGTGCACGTTGCTCGAGAAAGAGTAGTCGAGAGTATTCAATTAGATTACTTGATTACTCGAGGAGAGAAGTAATCGGCCCTTACCGATTGCCTCAGTCTTTCAAGACGACATATTTTCTGCCGGTTTGAAAACTGATCTTTCGTCCAAACAATTATTTGATCAAAACCACCGAATTATAGGTTACTTATAATCTGAATTTACCAATTTTGGAAAACCTACACTCCTCTCGAAAACTTCTTGGCTCGAGACTTTCCTGCTAGGAAAATTGTGGAAACAAAAGGTGCAGTTAGAAAACAGAAGGAAAATAATGGCTACAAATATTTTAGCACTTACAAAATATTCGAATTACTCTTGCGATTACTTTCTAATAAATGTGCTTAAATAATTACAACAATTATTCCAAACAGTACTTATTACAAGTAATTTGATTAGTCGTTATGGGCACCATACATGTTTTCTCTGAAGCGTAGCTCATGAGGAGGTTTTAGTTATTAATGATCACGAAGTTCTGGTCGTACCATCACATGGAACAGCACGATGGGCACACGAGAATATGCCCCGAACAGGTTAATTTTTATTGGGTAGCCTCCCTCGGTCACATTCTCATCTCTAACACGAAACGCAAGCGGATCGGCGGGACTGCGATACTCGGATAAACTGAGAAGGAATAACAAAACAATTCAAAAAATTCCCTACGAAGAATCCAAGCCAGGACCCCAAAAGCTCGCAGCCAATCGCATAAACACCGTGTTAAGGAAGAGACTTGTGGAGCGGTAGTTACTTTCTGTCCTTCTTCTCTCCTTATCACATATGTTTCGACCCGCATGCGCGGGTCGAAGAAGGCGACGTTCAGCGGAGGTGCCCAGTCTTTCACAACGCCACGCGAGAGCAAGGAGTGGACTGAAGGAACAACAGCCGGATGAAACTGGCGCTGACTACGACCGTCTGTAGGGAGTGAAAATGTCATGGCGGTCGATGCTTAGTTAATCGCTACAGGCCAACACACCGTTTAAAAACAAGCCCGCGTTTGCCCACGCCCAGATTCGCGCGGGAGGAAGCGTCTGCGCATGCGCAGTACCGACACCAGCGCCACCGTAGCGGCATGACGTCAGGGAAATCAGTTGGTGCATAGCGCTGCTGGGAAGGGGGAAAAGGGGCAGTGTGTTTGTGCACCGCTAACCCCCACCAAACGCACACACTCACACACACACACACAAAAAAAAAAAAAGAAGCTCGCGGTGTTTTGCCATTATTCGCGCTCGCTACGACGTAAAACCGAAGGCTGAGCTCCCTCGCTGATACTCTCTGCCATGACCTTTCTACTGTGGGACCAGAGCGAGCAGTAAGCAAGGTCCATACAAGGTTCGCACTGTTTCCACATTTAAAGCTATCGTTTTAAAATGGAATAAAGTCACAATCGTCAGCCAAGAGACCAAATCGAGAAGATGTTTCAGTTTTCTTTTTCTCTTCGGGTATGATACCATCGAATGCACTAAGTGTAGTCGGTGACAGGTCAAGAGTGGAGTGGAAGCTCCCCCCCCCCCCTCTTTTCACTTTAGCAGAGCGAACTTTGGAGAGGGGGTCGTCTCCCGTCCAGTGTTCGCCCCACTCAAGTAGAAAGAGGTGGGAGGAGCTTCCACTTCACTCTCAACCCTTCCTCGACTCTAGTTCCATCTTGTCTTGTGTGAGCCTCCCCTAAACAAGTTGGCGTCTTCGCGATTTCTATTGCACGATTGATGTTAATAGTCCTCAGGTTGCCATCAGGTAAGTCTTGTGTTTCAGAGTCCCTGAGAGGTCAAGAAACGTAAAGCGTAGCATAGTATGTTCACGGTGCTAGGTTCCTGATTGGCTCTTCGTCGGTCGTATCGGCTGACGCAGCAACATCATTGGCTGCGGCGCGATAATGAGATGCTCGGGCTTGCCACGCTCCACGATTTTTTAAAAGCTGTTTTTTTTTTTTCACACGCATGCGCACGCCTGTTTGTGCGCGCGTGCGTGAACGTGGTTCTGTCATTAATCAAAGCTGGTTACACGCGTGCGCAAAAACTAGACGAAAATGACACGAAATTCTCAACACGAAAAATAAATTGAAGACAACGTACTAGGGCAGGGAAGCTGATTAATGTTAAACATTTCTAAAACCCAAGAGGAGGTTACAAAGTCTAGTGTTTGCCCCCTCTTTGTAGCCTCCGTCTTGAATTTTAGAAATGTTTAACGAAAAAAAAAAATAGTTCCCCGGGCCGTTTTTATGTAAGAAGAGCCACTCGTGGCTACATCGTGGATATACTTATCGTAAAGGGACTGTAACTATGGTCTTAACGTAAGCATGTATTTATAATTTACGTTCAGTAACTTAGCCTTTCTTTTTTCATTATATAGCTTTGAACACACTTTTTATGCTGCGATTTCTTTGCGATATTTGGTTGGCTTTCGTCGCGTGTGTTATGGAAGTCTCAAGTTAATATAAAATTTTGAACAAAAAAAAAAAACAAAAAGAAATATCCCACGGCATTGTTATTTTTTAATGACTCGCGTTACACGTTGGTATTGCACAAAATCGCAATTATGGTTGTGAATAAACTACATTCTTATGTTTACGGGCAGTAAAAACAAGTTTATCGAAAATAGCGTGAGAAACATTTGCACGCTACGAGATTTGCAGCTGCTTTTTCGCAAGTGTGTTCCCTGAAAACTCACCATATCCACGAGCTGAATCTGTGACGCACGAGTGATTTTGTGGCCGCTGCGTGTGGGACCATTGACTGCCTGTCCGGTCTCTTTCGTCGTCTTATTATGCGGGCAGCCACCTGAGCGAAAGCATGTTGTTTTCGCGGTGTCATTTGACGCCCGCATATCTGCCCTGCTGGCAGTGACATATATCCCTTCTCACTGAGCGAACGAACCTCCCGCCATCAGGCATTCACACAGCTGCGGGCCTGTGTTGTGTTACACGGCTTCCACTTGATGTTGGTAAACCCGACCTCGCGATCCAAGTCCCCGTTCCTGTTATGGTGCCTCGAACGCGCTCCGACCGGAGCGTTCACCGCGTCCTCAAATGCTCCCACTTGATTTCCACCTGATGACGTCATAGGAGTGTCATGTTGTGTCACAGCAGCAGAGGTGGATGTGTCAGACGCCTGGCCTACTGCAGGTTGCTCTCAAGCGTGACACGGAAGCTTCTGCAGCCAGGAGCTGGGACGCCGCGAAGACAGCGGCACTCGCGTTTTCTCGTGCTTTTTACCGGAACTTCTATAGTCCCAATCGCGACATCAGTCAACATGACGCGCCAGGTCCCGTGACATCACTCGCTGTCACTTCCGGACAAACTTCGACGCATGCATGGTACACCAAAGTACACCAGTCGAAGACCCGTTCCTTGTTTCAATCAGGGATGTCACGAACCTGCCCAAGTTCAAGGTCGGCTAAGTTCGACTTTTTCGAACTTCCAACGTGATGTTCGACAAAATTTGGACCGAAGTTCGACTTTTTTGGTTGTGCGAATGTTAAAAATCCAGTTGACTCTACGTGGCGGAGGAAAAGTGCAATATTTGTGGGTGTATTGGCATCACTGGTCACATTACTAACTAACCAAAGCATTAAAAACGCATATTTTAGCGTTTATGTGGTATAAACATTGTAACCATTTTATAAAATATAAAACAAAATCCTTTCAAAATTAATTGTTTCCCAAAATTTGAAATATTCGTGTAGAAGCCAGGACACTCGAACTTCTTCGAACTTCAGTGAAAGGTCGAAGGTTCGGCGAACCAGTCGTACCTTAAGGTTCGACGTCAAATTGAGGTTCGACAAAAGTTCGCGACACCCCTAGTTTCAATTCATAATAAAGTCTTTGCATCCTGGGAAAGTTGCGCCATTTCTCTTAATGCTAGCGGTGCTAGCCGGACACAAACAGGCATTAGCATACAGACGATCAAACCTCGCAATGTTTGATCGTCTGTAGGTCTGTATGTAGGTTTGATCGACTGGTTGATGTGTCTCAGTTGCCAGAGTAGTCGAATTTCGGTACATTCGAAGCTTCGAAAGGAATCAATGTAGCGATGCAGGCGAGTTGGTTCATGATGACAAACTGGTTGCAGCGCGCAAAAATGCACAGACAAAGGGAGGAATGAACAGGACGAGCGCTCGTCCTGTCCATTCCTTTCCTGAATGTTGTTCGCGCTGCTACCAGCTTGCAGCCTTGAAAGAGTCATTCTGAACCATGCAGTCGCGCCAAGATCGCTATAGAGCATCACCGTATTAAAAGCGTTCCTCGCTAATATAAGCGTCTTTGACACTGTCCATGCAATCAATTTATCAATCATGACTATCTCCACAGACCTCTGGCAATGGTATTGATTTTTTTTTTTTTTTTTGCGTGCGTTTTAAGACATGGAAAAAATATTTTTCAATGCCGTCAAGCACCAAGGTTGCATGGGGTGGCAGTGCGATAATGTGCGTTTGTTTCGCCAATGTGTG